GATGGCTAACGAATGAACGTTGTGAGACCGCAATCGACTTTTATTTTTATATATCATAAATAGAGAGAAAAAAAATCGCGCCCTGTCGGGGAACACCCCTGCGAATTTGAAAATGTTTTTAGCGCAGAAACCTCCCCAGGGATATTCTCAACATCTTCCCAAAATTTCTTGGCGATCGTGTGAACGGTGTCACCGCAATTCACTTTTATTATTTTTATATACCGCATAAAGAGAAAAAACAAATCGCGCCCTGCCGGGGCGCCACCCCTGCAAATTTGAAAATGTTTTTAGCGCAGAAACCTCCCCAGGAATATTCTCAACATCTTCCCAAAGTTTCACGGCGATCGTGTGAACGGTGTCACGTTTATTATTTTTATATACCGTATATAGAAAAAAATTGAATTTCGCCGCCCTTGCGAAATTAAAAATGATTTTTTACAGAACCCTTTCCAAGAGTGTTCTAATGAACTCACCAAACGTTTAAGGTTATTGGATGAATGGTGTCCAACCAAAATCGACTTTTATCTTTATATACCATACATAGAGAAAAATCGCACCCTCCTGTGGCGCCGCTCTTGTGAAATTAAAAATGATTTTTTACAGAACCCTTCCCTAGAGTTTTATAATGAACAATATAAAGTCTCAAGGCTATAGGGTGAGCGCTGTCAAACCAAAATCGACTTTTATTTTTATATACCGTATATAGAGAAAAAAACAAATCGCGTCCTGCCGGGGCGCTACCCCTGCGAATTAGAATTTTTTTTCCCGCAGAAACCTCCCCAGGAATATTCACAACAACTTCCCAAATTTTCACGTCGAAGTGATGAGAGGTGTAGTAAATTTTGGACTTAGCTCGAATCGTGAATTAACACTGGTTACGAATCGTGAAAACCCACTCTGTTTATGGATATCCAAAAGAAATAATTCTCAAATGTAATCACTGACGCTCAGTGTAGGGTGAATCTTTGGGGTGGGTGGCTGCTGGTGGGGTGAACTAAAGGATAGCTGAGTATTTAAATCTATGCCTTGGGTTACCAAACCCTAAGAAACAAATCTCAAAGTTCGAGTACTACTTTACTACTACGTTACTGGATCTCTGACCGAAGAAGGTTTGTGTTTGTAGAGCGTACAAGTATTAAATTACCGGCCATGATCGAGGTCTCACAAGAGAAGAATCGTGACTATAATTAGGGAGAAAACGACGTGTCAGCCAAATACACCTTATTTATGAGTTTCCTGACGGCCTGTTCGGGCCGCCGTGAATGCCGGTATTTTAGACGTGTGAGAAATCAGGACAACTTTACAATAAAGCAAACTCGGCCCGAAGTATCAAAACAGTATGGACTTCAAAATTTGTTTAGAATCCATACAATATTTTAAACCAAAATCATTGCTCCTAACTATTGTAAAGGATATCCTACAATAAAAAATGTGCGTTTATTAATAATGACTACCATATCTCTGCCCTTCAACGATGCCCATTCCTCCATACTAATTGTGCGACACGGACAATACGATGACTATATTATGTCAGCACCATTGAAAACTATTGTATATAACAAATTGAATGAATTCGGTAAATTAATAATTATGTTTGAGAACGCATGAATCTTTAAGATGACACAACATAACAACACTTTTACTTTCTTCTAAAAATATAAATAATAAATCACCCTGTTGGTACCCCCCCCCCCCCATCCTAATGAGGACCCCGCCCCTATGCCCGCCAGTGAATGTTAATTTTGTTATACCAAGACAAGAAGCCTACATAGACGACACCTACCTACAACAAGAAAGTCAGGACTAGCGTTCACTAACTGTTTACTACAGGCATCCCGTCTGTTCACTACAAAACTTCATCGGCCCGCATACAATAGGGTATCTGATTACGGGATTTCCAAATTTTCCTCCCTGGTCAGGTCGGGAGCTAATTCTAGTCCACCCATCCCCAGTCACCTCAGGTCAAATGCGAGGCGATCATACCCTTCACACAGGGAGGTGTGTGACTATAATTTACGGCCTGTCCCAGTTCAGGTGGGTGATAACTCACTAGCATCAACAGGGCCTCAATTACATCAATCAACAACGTCGGCATTCGACCATTTAGTTTTTCACAAGTGAATTCAGCTACAATTATTTAAGTTTACAAACTAATTCAGATAATAGTGACGATGCTGAAGCGCGGGGCCCCTCCAAGCGCGGGGCCTGGGGCGGCCGCCCCTTTCGCCACCCCCAAACGCCGGCTCTAATATGCTTTCCGGTTCTAAATTAAAGGCTGAATCTAGCATCATTAACTGTTACTATTAACAAAAATGATTAAGCTTTCATAAAATCAATAAATAATTGACAACAAATAAAAATAAGACAAAATAAACTATTTTTTAAAAAGTGCAGGGGTTGTACTTACGTAAGGGTCTTTGAAGATACATGCAGATAAAATTAAAATTCTTGCTCTGATTGTAGATGAACGCTTCTCTAACAGTATCAGAAATTACAAGAAATGACCTCTTAGAAACAGGGAATAGTAACTTTTAATTAAACTTTACTCTCATTAAAAATAGAGAGTATTCAGTATATAGTGTGTGGAATTACCCCGGCTTACCCGATTTATTGATTATCAATTAAAGATTGTTTACATTTTGTATCTGCTTTTGTTTGCATCTTCACACCTTGAATTTGCAAGCTATTATGAGCTGCTTAACTGTTCTTTATTTCTTTTTCATTGTAACATAATCATAATCGCAAGTAATGTTCCCTTCGTACCATTCGTCTGCTTCATTAACTATTCCTCAAATTGCACGAGCATCGTTGCCACAGGATCCACAAGAATGGACTGCATTACATTCTTCTTCACAAACTACACATAATCTGTTCTGCCACAGCAGCAGATGTGTTAGCAGTTAGCTGAGGATGTCTTTGCATTTATGGCATCCTCCATTTCTTGTTTAATGTTCTCAAGATCTTCCTCAGTAACAGAATTATCAAGAGCCTGTCTTGGCACATTTGAAGTGTTAAGTCCCACTTTTACTGTACAACCAAGCAAGGCTTCGTATGGCGATTGTTGGATTCCTTTAAATATCAAAAGTTTGGAAACAAGACCTTTCTTGAGATTGGGCAATTGTGTCTTGTTGCACGTGGCCTAAGACTTGGACTCTCTTTGGTTATTTCTTTGATGATATAAAATAAACCGGGAGTGATCTCCCCAAAACTTTCTCGAATATATATATATATAATTCTCTTCTGGGAGCCGTTAGAAAACAAGCTGCAAGCGCCTCCTTGCAGTCTCCTCTCTTTCTCTCTATCACTATCACCATCACTACCACCCCCACCCCACCCCCACATTGTCTGATGAGCGGTGTTCACTCCAAATGTTTACAAATCGTAGAGCCGGGTTTCTATTAGTGGCAGATAATTTAGTTCGTTTTTAAACTTACAGGAGGTAACTAAGAAATAACTAAGAGGAGGCTGCTTTCACGGGGGGGGGGGGGGGGGGGGGGGGGTGTAGGGTCGGGGTTAGGGGAAGGGGGGGGGGTTAGTGTTTTAAAGCAAATATTTTCAGTGGCAGCATTGGTAATGTCGAATTCACAAATTATGAATTACTGAAAAGTAGAAAATAAAACAACTAAATAGCGGCGTATGATACGCCGCGGGTCGGCTCGTTCTTATATAACACTACGTGGGATGGCAACTCGGAATATAGACATGATTTTTAAATTACTTAATTTTTTTTTAATATAATAGAATATCGTAAAAAAAATTGCACACCAAGTGAACGCCAAATAAAATGTGCGTAATCGTGCAAAAAAAAAAATCGAGATTTTTACAAATCTCGACGTTTTACACCTCACTGATACGGAAAAACATAATTTTGCAATCTTGTCCGTGTGTGTGTGTGTGTGTGTGTCTGTGTCTGTGTGTCTGTAAACACGATAACTTGAGTACCGTATATATAAGTATTTTATCAAAATCGTAGATCCGTATCAACTTTTGAGCGATTTCCGATAACCGGAAGTGGTACCGGAAGTGGTACTTTTTCTACTTTGAATTTTTCAAAAGCCTATAACTTGAGTACTATTTCAGATAGATAAATGAAATTTCACTTGTAAGTAAAATATCTAATCCTCTACCTTCTGTTAAATTTTGAGTAATTTCCGTTGACTGGAAGTAGTAATTTACGCTATTTCCGATTTCTCTAAAACGCATGTAAATTTATAAAGCACTAATAATATTGCGCTCTATTATGCACTTTTTATTTGCCGTTTACTTGGTGTGCAATTCTTTTTTCTACGAGATTTTATTCTATTTTAAAAACTTTAAGTATATAAAATGGAGTTCTCATCCCCTGTTGTTTTATATAAGAATATTCGAGAAAGTTTAGAGGAGATCACTCCCGGTTTATTATTAATTTTTTTTTTTGCACGATTACAAGACTTTCTCTATACCTCGTATATTGGAGAAAGTAAAAATGCAAGAAATTTTTTTTTTAACTATAAAAAATTGATTATGGTCGGCTGTGTGCCCCTAAAGGCCCCCCCCCCCCATTGCGGGATCTGGTGGCACTGTAGTTCCGCCCTTGGCCCCGACCCATCCAATGAGCGGATGCTTGGGGGGGGGGGGCGCTTTTTACCTGCGTGAATAACTGTGTTTGTATAGGCCTAATTTGTGGAGTGGGCGCAAAATTGATTGTTCGCCCAGGGCGCCGAAATAAAAGGGCTACGTCATTGTATATTTCCCTGTCTATAGTTTATATAATACAATCAAAGTTATTAATTAATAGGTATTTTTTAATAATGGCGATTTCACATTTTTTTGCGTCCCTCTATGAATAGCGCCATAAGCGACCGCCTAATTAGCCTTATAGGTAGCGCCCCGGCCCTGCCGCCCTCCTCCGAAAATATTTTTATTTTGTTCGGACTGGTTTTTAACTGACCGTTTTTACGCCGCATGTATTTTTCCTCATTAGGCCTTTTGACTCCCGATTACTTCCCCTACTTCCCACAGCAGTTCACAGGTGGCAGTTCGTTGAGCAGCTGATCTAAGATGGCGGCTATTCAGGTAAACGAAATGTAAACAAACAACTTGTTTACATATTATTATTTTAATGTCTACTAGTTTCAGGAAGTAAAATTTCGAAAACATAAATAATTTAGTTTGTTAATAGAGGTACAGATCTACCGCTTTTAGGGGTGGATCTATTATGTAGCGAGGCTCGCTAACTCGAAAGCGTCCTTGGTTGCTAACCAGAACATGGCTACCACACCTTGGCCTACGATTGGGCAATTTTTTCAGCTTTGTTCGAGAGACCACCTTAACATTAACTTTAAAAATAATTATCACGCGAAAAATGGCGTTTTTTTCGCGTATTTTAAGCTATCTGAAGATGACAAAGCTATTTTTGCCAGAAAAAAAAAAAAAAATTTGCTTCCGACAATGTAGGTCAAACGTAAACATGGGTATAGTTTGAGTTGTTTAAAAACTTTAAATAATGGTCTGTTCGGTGTCCAAATGGCACTGTACGGTAGGCTATTATTAGACTGATCGTTTAGTGAAAAAATATTGTAATTATTTTATAACCATTTTAAGAAATCGGCGCCCAAAAAAGGTCACTGAAAGCACGTAATTTTTTATTGTGACGTCATCGCTATTGTGATGGATGCTGAACGGAAGTATGCGCAATAGACGCTAAAAGGGTTGTATATTATTTCAATTGGGCTCACAATTTGGCCTTGATTTCCTGCGTAATTAGGCTAATTGAGAATCATTATTGATCTTTTACCTGGCCAGGTGATGATAGGTATCTTACAAGGCTAGGCCTATAAAAGCCCGCGAAACACATCGATCTACCCTTCAGATTGGTATTGGTGAGAGTATTTGATGCATACTTAATACTTAGATCTACATTATTTAATATTTATTCATTTAAAAATACTGTTTAGCCTACAACTTGACTATTTTTTTTTTTATGTTTGCTGATCGTGATTGATTTGATATTTAACTATTACATTAGTCATTTTAGTTTTAGCTATAGTTTAATTAGTTTAAGTTTATTCTTAGTTTAGGTCTATTTATATAATTTTTATTAGGGCCTGGCCCTTGATCTAACTTTAGTTACGAATTATAAAAATAGTTTTAGATCTAGGTTCTTAATTATTTATACTTTAGGTCTAGTTCTCTTAGTAGTCTAATAGATCTAGTAATAATTTTTTTTTTAGGTTGATTCTGCTTTGAGATTTTAATTTTAGGCCTGCCCTGTTGGTCAATAGGCCCTACTTTATTTTATTTTAGATGATTTAAGCTAGGCTTATTTAATATTTATTTTAATATTTATCCTGCTTGCTTCTTTGATGACATTAGCATAGACTAATTTAAAATTAATTCTAATTGATTTTATATTACTATCAGGCTCATAATAAGCCTTGGCATATTTAATTTAGATTTTGCATATATACTTATTTGAATTTTTATTCAACTTTATTTTTATATGGGCCTAGGCCTATTTGAATTAACTTTAACAATTTAGTTAATGTGCTGGCTAATTTGTTGACTTTGCAATAGTTAAATCTTTTTAAAATTCTTGTTGATTTTATTTTAATTTTTTTATTTATTCATATTTAAATTCTGTTATTAATTTATCTATTTATTTCTAACTTGACAGATTTTTTTTTATTCTGATTTATTTATTAATCAATTATCTAGCCCTAAGTCTCATATTTTTAGAATTGTTTCTTTATATTCATATTGCCTTCGTTTATGCTGCTTTCTGATTTCATGTGAATTTTTTTGATATTCAGAGATTTCTTTGCTAGTTAATTGTTGATTTAATTTGTATCTTTTTGCTCATATTATATCAATTTATAATTTATTGTGCTTTGTTGTATTTATTATTACACAAACATTTAAGTTAATCATAATGAATTCACAGGCTGTTAGTAACTATGACACATTTCTTAAGACTTTTACAGATTCTACGCCATTGTTGAATGGGTATGTTGTTCAGTTTATGCATTTCAACCGTGAAAGGAGTCAGGCTGAAAAGTGTAGGCAGTTGGCTTTGGAACTGAGGTTGGTAAATATAAATGACTCTATTCTTTTTCAGAGGTTTTATAATGCAGTTACAAAGTTATTGAAAGATGTCCATAGCCTAAGAAAGTGGTTGCATCGAAACTGGGACAGGATTGTAGACATTTTGAACAGGCCATTTGCTTTCCAACCCTTGGAGGAAGATGACTCCACAGCCCATGATCTGTCGCTGAGTGAGAGAGTAGTTGTTGGAAGTGAAGATGTAAGTTTTTCAGATGTATCTACCTCGGAGGTGAGTGAGTTGAATGTTGCAATGGTAAGTGATCAAGATAGTAGCCTCTTAGATGTTGCAGGTCCTTCGACTTCCCAGGCTGTTTTACATGATGATACAGTTTTTGTAGATGTAGAGATGTCTGAGGGCGACTCCAAGGCAGAGACAACTGCTAGCTACTCTTTACGCAAAGAGAGATGTCCCAAGTGTGTGGTAAGGAATAAGTCAATTCTTACTTTACAGAGTAAATTGAGATCTTTAAGAAAGGAATGTAGACGTTTAAAATTGTCTAACATAAAAGTTTTGCAGCAGTCATTGGTAAGAAGAAAGGCTGAGGTTGAAAAGTGGAAGGCAGCATGCATATCACAGAAAGCTTCAGAAAAAGATAGGACTGCGCAGCTTGTTGAAACTGCTAGGCAATTCAAGATCAGGAATAGTAAGTTGCTGAGTAAGTTCAATAGAACAATGATTAAAAACCATGACATTGTGTTAAGTTTGCAAAACAGGAATAGGTCAGCAGCTGAGTCTTACCAAAGCGTGATCAACAGGGTGATGACAGAAAAGGAAAGAGTTTTGGCAGAGAATATGAGGCTACGGGCACAGCTGGACATTATTGAAGGAGAGAATAGAAGGCTGCTGGAAGACAACATAAAGCTTACTGACCAGTTAGACAGTTTGACTGCAGCAGAAATGGAGGAGCCATCTAGACGTGCATATGGTTTGTCAGAGAGAAAGGTAACATACATGTCGGTGATTTCCAACGTCTCAGTCAAGGAGGTTAGTGGTCTTGTTCGGTATTATGCACATGTTTTTTCCCCAGATAAGCCAATACGCATGCCCCATCGCTCAAGTACGACAAGGATGGCTCATGAGCCTGGAGTGTTGGCGCTCATCCAGGTTGGCGAGGCTCTTCAGAATTGCAGGTCAGCCAGTATTGCATTTGATGCCACCACTAAAGTTGAAAAGCACCTGAACACTTTTTCTGTCTCTACAGAACCTGGCAATAATAAATATGTTCTTTCAACTGCAAGAGTTGCTGGTGGGAGAGCAGAAGATTACAGTGGACACATCATTGCTTCATTGAAGGAGTGGGCGTCAGTCTACGGTGACTTCATGCAGTTACCACCAGTAGAGGTATTATCTATTTTTCAGGAGAAATGTAAAGCCAGCTTAAGTGACAGGGCCAAGGTCAACGCCTGTGTAGTGGAGGCATTGCAAAACGAACTGGAGATGCAGTTTATACAGCTGAATTGCAATGTGCACCCGTTGGACACAGTGGCATCAAAAGCAAGAGAGTGTCTCGCCACTCTGGATAAGCAGCTGAATGTGAAAGCTGCTTCTGGTAAGGGCAACGCTCTTGCTGTTGACATTATTGTTAATGTTTCAAAGTTGAGGTGAGCATGTTTTTTCCAGATTTTTTTTTAGTTATTGATGATTGATATTTTTACTACACTAATTAACTCTTTCCACAGGGCTCTTTTTTTAAATATTTTTTTCAGTATTTTATTGATTTTTTTTTTTTTATATTGATTTTTTTAATCTTTTTTTTTTGTTTCAACAGATACAGTCACAAAGGAGAGCCTGCTGTTTTTAAGGCATTTTTAAGAGAACACCAAGTACCCACTGGAACATTTGTAAGATACGTTGGGAATAGGCTGCAAGTTCTCTTTCACATGGCTGGAGTTGTTGTAAAGCATGCTGACCTTCTGAGGACCTTTCTTGCTAAGTAAGTATTTATTAATTTTATATTTATTTAATTTAAAGATTTAAAAAAAAAAAATAAAATAACAATTGCATAATGCTCTATAGCAAGAACCAGATAGTGTGCAAGAATTTGTTGAGCGACCTTTCCAAACCTGAAGCAATGGTGCAACTACAAGCGCTTGGCCTGATAGGGAAGATCATCACAGGGCCCTGGATGAAACTTGTCTATCAGAATGTGGCTCAGAGGTCAAACCTTGAGCTTGTAAGTATTTGTTCAACTAAATTATTTTTGTCTTTTTTTTTTTTAAAGGAGATCTTTCTAAACCTTTCTTTATTTCTTTGTGGTAGGCTCCATTCTTCCAGGGGGCTAGGGAGAGGATTCAACTGTGGATTGAGAAACCTGAGATTGTGATGTATACAAGACATGATGTATTTGAACAGCCTTTGCCAGAATTCGACCCAGTCCTCGTGTGTCTTCAGGTGACGAGGGATGAACAGCTCTTCCCTGTGGTGATGAAGGCCTTGTTGGATTCTACAAAGGAGGTTCTTCTACGTCAACTTGAACGTTACCTGGTGGGTGACCTTTCGAAGCCCACTTCTGAGCAGTTGGATGCCACTAAGTCTGTTCCTCCCCACAATATGTTTGCCGAAAGGTGTCTCGGCATTGCTGACTACCTTATTAGGCGTGCCCCCAATGTATCAATTGGTTTCTTAGATTCCAAGTTGAAGGCAAAGCTTAACAACACTCTTGTCTGGCTGGAAGGGAAACCTCTAGACATGCAAGAGCGCTTGGTAACCTTTGCCATGCATAGGGGTGCCCAAATAAGGGAAGCCTGCAAGCGATTGCAGCATGAAATAGACTCTAACATAATTAGGCGCATGACTGAGCTTCAGAAGAAAAAGGAAAATAGAGCCCGGTCGGTAAGCGAAGCTCAGGTGCGCAAAGTTATGGCAGAAGGGGTTGCTTCTTTGGATCACCCACTATTTCATACTGTTGATGGCAAGCAGAGACCCTTTTTGCAAAGAATTTTGGAGAAGGAAGAGCTAGTTGGCGTCCTTC